TTCGGCGAACGTCGAATGCGGCTGTTTTTCTCTAGCTACTTCAGATAATAACTTTATATGTGCTTATCTTCATCTCACTTGTTCCCATTTAGTTTCTTGTGCTGATAGTGATCGGACTTGTCATCAGGCTGGGCATGTGTGTGTGAATCATCCGCGATGTAATAATGTTCCGATGTGTTATCCAACAGACATGGCCACTCAAATCATGTGTCCACCCCTAATAAGTAAATCGTAATAGGATTTCATCATGCTTTTTACTGCGTTGCCTAGTTCCAAATTACTTTATCGCCATACTATAGAAACTTTTCCTAGATGAACGAACCCTCAAAATGCATTCTTTAATTTCTTAAATGCGTTTTTTCATATAACGAAATCTACAATAAACGTTTTTGACTCAAGAAACCTGAAAAAAATCTTTGTTTTATTACCAATACTAAAACTCATTAGGGTTCATCAGAGCTAATGGACCTCTTTAGTGTCTATCAGTGTCAGAAACCCATCGACCAAAGGTGTTTCAGATAGAGAAATAATTTGATCATCTAAGGAGCTTGGTCATTGATAGTATTTAAAAGGGTTAGCTAGTCTAGATGAGCCGTACTCGTTTTCATCATTTGCAATAAAGAAAAACCTTTTGAGGACTCTGAAGTCGAAAACATTTATTGTAGGGCTCATTAAATAAACAAACACATAATGAGTGGGACAACAAGAATTCCAATATCGACATTTTCACCATTTCTCATCTGTCATATACTCGATCGAGCAAATATTTTTACCCATAGATTCCACGTTGAATTCTGTAGAAAAAATGTATAGGTAATTTCATCGGAGAATCTACAGGAAAAAATGACTGCAAGGATTGTGCTAAATACCCAAATATGAATAAAAACAAGTTAAAAACAGTTTTTATTAGTCCTGTTCGTAAAACATTCGCACACGCGAAAAACTGAAGTATTTATTTCGTGCGTCTTACTTGCAAGGCTCTATTATTCACTTGTAATTTGTAAAGATTTTTAGTGAGATGAAGTGATCCAATAAACGTAATTGTTAGCCAATTTTTCTGAAAACATAACGATTTTTCAGCAAAACTTACGCTTTTTTGATAAAGAAAATAATATTTAATTCAATTTTATTCATGCACATTATTTTTATGGTAACTGACGAATCGTTATCATCGAATGTCTTAAATACGCACCAAAAAAGATATGTTGTGCTCCACCACGTAGAAATCGTAAAAACTTTTCTATTTTCGCTTGGTGATTGAGAATTCAATGGTTGCATGGGTTATTTTCATTCAAACTACTTTCCCTCTACGACATTAGCAAGAAGATTTCTTAAACTATTTAAAAAACATTCCAAATGTGTTCTGATAGTTTTGAAAGCATTGAAAAATCGAGTTCTCTTTGGTCGCACAATTCTTCATGCCACTCGTCTCCTCTACATTTTCAATAAAACAGCCCAGAGACTTTTTTGTAGAGAATACAATGCCCAATCTTTTAATTAAAACGTTTCCTCGATCAAGTATATACCAGAGGAGAAAAAGTGAAAATAATGGTAGCGCAATTCTTTCTAACTCACCTATTGAGAGAATACTTAAGAGAGGGGCCTCCGAGAATAGTGACAAAGCCAGATGAAGACCGATTCTTGATTTAGAATTTAAACATAGTAGAAAAGAAAGAGCACTATGTCTCAGTACTTATTGGAAAAGAATTAATCTTATCTAGTGTACCCTTCGAGAGTTGTCTTGGAGGGAACTGAAAACATTCCCAAATCATTTCATAAAAAATACATTTTTTAATGTATTGGCATTTGTCGATTTTTATTTGTACGACTTTATCATTTATGTATCATGTTATGGCAATAGATAGAGCTCTATTTGTTCTAGAAGACCATATATCTCTTCTCGCCACTATTCTTTTTTTGACGTCGTAAAACATCATTAATTCAATGAATCCAGCATTTTCAATATTCAGGTCTTATTGTAGGTGTGAATGTGGATAAGTGTGGGTGAAGGATGCGGATGTGAGATCTTCATGTTGTGTATTCGTGTGTCTACAGATGTGCGTATTGGTGTGGGTGAGTGATTGGAGGTATAAATCTTCTTACTCTCAATGAGCAATGCTCACTCAGCCACTCAAATTGACACCCACAGCCTGTGTTGCATATTAGAATCTGAAAAATTTGTGGATGTGGGCGAATAGACGACCCACACTCATGACCTATGTCCACATCCAACACAATCCTACTGTTTCTCTTATTTTTCTATGATATCGTTGATTTTTGAGAATCGCAATCTTAAAAACAATACATCTGTTTTAGTTTCAATGTCTAGAATATGCTGTTGACCATGATATCTATTTTCAAACGAAATGTACAATAGAAAACAATTGATTTGCTCCTTTCAGCAAATCACTGTCATTAGTCAAAAACTTCTATAATAATTATTTGCGCATTGTTGTTCTATTACAAAGAATGAGACACAAAAGCATGAGTTACTTCAGTCTCTTGATCTCGTACCTACAGCTCATATCCTTCCTCCCTCGCAAATGACTTGACATTTCGAGAGATTTCCTCTGAAAGCAAAACACTCTTTTGAAAAGCTTCTTTCACGGGTATAAATTACAACTAGCATAAGTCTCCTTGAATTCACCTCACCTTTTAAAGAGCTTTGTGCTCTGTTCGAAGGAACTCTTCATTTATTGATCATGTATTTATTAGCTACGACTACTCCACCTGCCGAAAGCATAGTTAGTGCCTTCTGGTCATTTGACAGGAATGCACTTGAACGGTATAATAGTGGTCTCGATGGTATTGTCGTCGGCTGTCCAACCTATACTACCAGTTTTGCTGGATACGGCGCTGCCATCCAATTTACTCGGTCCTCTACTCAATATATTTTTATTACACCGAAGGTACTTCCGATGAATTCACGTAATTTCACAATCGAAGCATGGATCTATCCTATTGGTTTTTCCAATAGTATTGACTATGGAATATTCGGTCAATGCCAAGCAACAAATAACAACTCGTGCTTATACTTCATAGTTCGTAACAGAAAATTATATGGTGGATTCTATGGTAACGATATACAGGGTGCAACCACCCTAACAATGAATACATGGCACCATGTAGCTTTTGTCTATGACTCAACCGCGACGATGCAACAAGTGTGGCTTAATGGTAATCTTGATGGTTCACGTTTGGCCAGCGCCTACGATGGTCTATGGGAAATAACAACTATTGGTGCTACTTTTCAATTAGGCAAAGCAACTGGTTTCAATGGTTACATAGACAACGCACGATTTGAGGCTAGAGCTAAAAATTCGACTGAAATTCTGGATGATGCCACTCTACATGTTTACTACTCGTTCGATGATGGTTCACTTACCGACAACGGTCCTAATGGTATCAATGGAACTGCTTCTGGACGTTTATCAAGTACAACTGGTCGAGTTAATCAAGGACTGGAATTTAACTCAGGATCCTATATGTACTATTCATATAATCCATTTTACTTTTTAGGTATCAGTGGTTATCCATTTAGTATAGCCTTGTGGGTAAAGCCAGCAGGAAGTTATAGGCGACAAACACTTGTGTTCGTAGATAAATTAAATGATTGGTGTGCTAACCTTTTGGTAATAACATCGTTTGGACAGTTAGTTGCCATTGGTTGGAATGATGCAACTGTAGCTGCAAATGGTCCCATCCTTCGATTCAACATTTGGACACATGTCGGCTATACTTATAGTACAACCAACGGTATTCGGTTGTATATAAATGGTCGTCAATACTCAACGACAGGTTCTTTTAGATTCGTGAATTCTGGTGTTCCGATGCGTATCATATTGGGTGGAAATAGAGCTGTTCGCCAATATACACGATCACTTACCTATTGAATCATTATCATCTATAGATCCATCGATCGACGTAAGATTTGAATATTCGAAATAGGGGTCTAACTACGTGCTCTCCAGGCTACGGAGGTGCATTTACTGGTGCCCTCGATGAATTTTATCTTTATAGACGTGAATTAACAGCAGCTCAAATTTGGGCATTAGCCAATCCTTAAGCTGATACTATGAAGCTTACTGTCAACATTGACTACTATAACATTCATATTCCTGAATTGATGAAAGAGTTTTCCATTAAGTTAAACCTCTGTAGGTTGCAACGGTGAATCCCTACTATGAATAACATTTCGAAAGCATTGCATATACACTATTACAATAGGGATACTACCAAAATAGCTGTGGTGTGTGTGGATGTGCAGTGCAGTGTGGGTGCGGATGTGGGTACGGGTGTAGGCGTGAGTGTGCGTGCGTGTATCAGTGAGGGTGTGAGTATAGGTGTTGGTGTGGCTGTGAGTATGGGTATGAGGAAAAAGTACTTTTACACTCACACCCACACCCACACCCACACCCTTGATCTGATCTTGTCTATATGTTTCAATATCAAACCAAAGCAATTTCATTGGTGTTTCCATGCAGTGACCGATTGCTGATAGCTATAGTAATTCATATTGTCAAGGTCAAATATGTTTTGATAGCGAAAAGCATAAATAAGAGAAAAAATAGCAGCATTATATGAATTTTCGACAAGATGCACTGTTCAACAACGAATACTTCTGAGAAGAACCTTTGATCTGTAGTCAAACTAGAGAAAAGGTCGATTCTTAGGTGAATCCTCATATTACTGAACTGATTTCATGTAAACAATCAAGTTTATCCCATAAGAACATGTATTAAAAATTTTTTTCTACTAAAATAAGTAGTTCACAAGATGAAGATTGACTTAAAAATCATAAAACTTTTTAAAATTACCAGTACGTTAAAGTAGTTACATAGTTGTTGAGTATATTAGACAAACCATATAGCTTGCTATTCAGTGATACAATGACAAGTATAATCCCAAAAAAGAATGTTCTTATTCGTAAACTCTTATCAAAATCAGAATTCTTAATATTTCTATTGTCTCTTATTATAAGATAGAAGTCTTCATAAAATTCACATGTGACTCATATCCCATGGACACAGTTTTCTTTTGACTATTACTTGAAAGTGAGGTCGCCGCTGAAGCCAATACCCTGCATGATCAAATGGTGATTGAATATTGCGACGGTCATGTTGATGATTCAAAAAAATGCTCAATCGAAGTCGTAAGTATTTAAGATCAGGTAAATATTGTTCGATCAATGTTTGCCACGCTTTTGGCTCGAGCATTGTCTTTGTATTTTCACGAGCTTTGAGTTTGAGTATTAAATGTGTTAAATGTGGACATAAAACAAAGAAATGATTAAGTAGTTCGAATGAACGCAAATATTGTAAATTCAGATTCAGATGTTTTAGTTTGGGGAGAACACTATTGAATGTATAAAGATGTTTACCCCAATCAAAACCGTATAAATGTGCTTTTAAACGACCAAGATTAGGTGTATGACGCAAAAATATTAGCATTTGATCAGTTGATATGTATTCAAAATTAATATATTCGACAGTGGGTAAATCGAACGAAAGTCGATCGATATTCCATCGATTGAACTGATAGGGAACATGTAAACGTCGAAGACGATTACGACCGGCTCCTAAAATTATCGACCAAACTTGTTCATACATATCGATTGCATAGTCATGGCAATCCATTTTTGTAATCTTGATCGATTCAAGTTGTTGCATTGGTAACCATTGAATAAATGAAACTAATTTTTGAAGCCTTATTGATTGAAATGTAACAGCTCGAATGGTGGAAAAATTTAAATATGAATATAAATTGTTCTGTGCATCTTCATCATTACTCGACACTTTTAATGATCGACACTTAAATACATCATCGTGAAATTTATTTTGGTTTATTGTCGTCGATAAATCAACGTATGCTGGATAATTTTGAATGATATTATTCAAGCGTTGTTTTAGTCCAAAAAAAGCTTGAAATAGTTCAGTGAATGATAAATAATCGAATATTTCCAGAAGCAAATCAACGCTCAAGTCGTCAAAACACGTCGTCGTCATCTAACACGGTTGTTTTTTTTTTTGCTAATGATCAGGCGCAGTCAACAAAGAACGCAAATAAAAGGAAAAAAACATGCCTTCGTTGACGACTTATCGTTATACACGTGTTGATAGAAGCATAGTTGCGATAAGTGTCAATGATTCATCACTGACTTGACTCTGATGTGAAAAAGACCTTTTTTTTGACGAAATAAGGTGCTTTTTAAATGAAGTCAATTCGAATGAAAATATAGTTGTCCAATCAAGATGGCAGAAATACACACTATTTGATGGTATAAAGCTAGTGTTTCTCTAAGGAAGCCTTTATTCAAATGAAACAAAATTTCATCAGTTCAAAAGGACTATGCAATCAGGAAGCGTATCAAGTCTAAAGTTCTGCGAAATATCGAAGTATCAAGCGAAAGACAATCATTGAGTGAGAAAACAGTTTGAGCTTATACAGTATTTCCCTGTGCCACGTATTTGTCTCGACGAAAACATAGCATCCAAGCAGCTTTTATTCGACGCAGAGACACATTTTGCATGAGCTTCTCTCGAGCAGCACCTTATGTAAAATATGATGAATGACAAGAGAGGGAGCTATCCATCAATACTAACTGAAGCCAAGAAGTTGCAACCTAACTGGTCATTCTATGCCATCGATCAGTTTTATTAGCAAAGATTAAATTTTCTGAGAACAAAATCCATACAGTCAGTTGTGGTCTTGCCTCGAAAAGTTCACCATAATAATTAATCAGTTCAAATCAGCAGAATTGATTCATAAAGACAATGATGGAAAATTGAAATCTCTCACCATAAGGATCTATATCAGCGACATTTACCTAACAACATCAGCTACTACTCCAAGTAAGTTTACATTGATCATTACACTATCGATATTCTTTATTATCATTATGGCTAATGCATTACCACTAGCACTGAAATTGATGAATGCTAATTCTAATACTTTGGTATTAGCATCGAAATTGAAATTCTTACTTCGATAATCATTTGAAAAAAGTTGGCTAATATTGCATTAATTTTCAAAATAATCACTAAAACAATCATTGTAATTTTGATGCCTATGGTAAAGCATTAAGGTTTCTTAATGTTGCACTGCAGATGATTAAATACGTTTTGCTCTATCATATCGGTAGTTGCAGCGTTTTTTCAGCCTAAAAATGATATAATTTCTTCGAATAGAAGCATTAAGTCTTCATTGTGTATGATTCGAAGTCCTTCTACTTCTATAAAGATATTTTTGTCAAGTGATTAAGATTGTCTCGAAGGATACGTAGATAATGTCACTGAACGACGGAATAGTTCGAAAAGTGTTCCTATCGTAAAAATTCATACTCAATCGTACTTGATTTCCTATTTTGCCATTATCTTGAGAGCGGCTACCTTTCTAAAACTTTTTTGTAAATTCAAAAATGTTCGAATCCTGTACCATAGTCGTGCTTTTCCAACACAGACCGATCTAAAACTCTAAAAAATGATTACGGCCTCAATGCAACATTCATACTTTGAGAATACATTCGAGGCACGTGATGAACATCCAATTTGATCTCAACGATTTTCTTTATGTTCGTGAGAAATACTAACAAATAGACTTACATTGTCGAAATAACATTGGTAAACTATGCTATAGATAGAATACCGTTCAGGATCTCGAGTCCATTTTTGTTACCAATCTGAATCAATGCACCAGAAGCTTCAATAATTAATAAGATAAATACGAATTATCCTGGTGGATTTAGAATTGAAAAGACTAGAATGTATTAGATGATTAACTCATTCTCTATATTATTGAGAAAAGGAACACGTTTAGATGAATAGTTATTACTTCAAAACGTAGAATTTACTATGAACACATTCAAAGCCAGAAGGTTGAAGACAGAATGTTATTGATCACAGTAATTTAATCAGTTAATATCAATCTGATGAACACTTTTTATTGAAGACATCCCACAAGATAAAATCTTAGTAAAAATCATATTTCTTTACAGTATAAGATTTTCTGAATGATAAGTCCAATAAAACACTCATAGACAATTTTAAAACAATAAGAGTCATGTAATATAGTTCTAATTAAATCGACTACAGTAAAAACAATAGAACTTACATGACTAATATTGAACTCAAATCTTTGAAGTAAAATTAATATATAAATTGTGGAATGTCTCAGACGAAAGATATACCAATGAGCTATAGACTTTCATCAAGTGTCTAGTGTTGAGTCTTATCATTATTTTGAATGTATCTCATTATATTTTCAGTTGAAAATGAAAAACAATTAATTATTTCTACATAAGATGCCACTGATCCATTTTATCTATTGTTTCTCTAGCAATCAAATTATTTGTTTTACTTATATTTATAGATTAGCAGATGTTTTCATACATTAAATGTTTGGATTGTAAAAAACATCGATTCCTATTGCAAAGTTATTTTTGAACTTCATGACAAATAATTACAATCTTACTATAATTCTAAAGGATGGAAAAACTTATAATAAAACATGTTCAATAACATTTAATCGTGTTGTATCGTTGTTTTGTATAAATTGTACAATATTGACATTATTAGACAAGTTAACAAGACGTGAAAGATTGTCAAGATATTTTTATCAATCATCATCATCTTTCTTAGACAACAAAAACATTTTTCTAGTTTATTAATCGATTATAAAAACCAAGTGAACTAGATGCTATTGATATTTTGGGATGGAAGAATAGTAAGTAGTTGAATAGTTGGTTTTGTTGTCTTCTTTAACATCAAAAATTACATTTGATGCTGATAAAAATTACGACTGTGATCATTAAGATTCAACATGTTTGTCGATCGCATATCGAATGAATCACTATTTGTAATAGATGATATATTATGTTCGCGTCATATTTTCAAACGATTATAATTCAGTGTCCATAAATGAATGACTAAAGCTCGCAATATTTAGACTAATTAAAATCTACAATAGAAATCTTAGATGCACAGAATAACGGCTTGGAAGACTCTAGAAAGTTCTAGAATGGTTTAAACACTGTGATTCTTAACGCATCTTTCTCGTCAGTAGGGAAACGTACCCAAAAATTGTTGGCTTCGCCCCTTTCACCCTGGCTTGAACTTACACTCTCAATTTTCTTCGAAAAATATACGTGAGTTCTACAATAAAATATTTCTTTACTATTTGTCTAACTCTATTTATGTGGCTTACATGAAAAAAATGGAAAATCTGACATACATCTTCATCTACTAATTAATGCAATACAGTCAAGATATTGATGAATAAAAAATTTCAAATCACTATATTTGTCTATCGTCGTCAATAATAAAGAAAACTCATCGACGAGAATATTAGTCTATATTCAATTGTATCTATAGCGACGGACATAAACTTTGAGCAGCTGTATTTTTAATTTTTCTTCTTGATGATAATAACTTGCAAGAATCCCAAAAAATATCTATGTAGCTGAAAGGGTTCTCTGTTAAGATTGAGAGGTTCGAAGACTTGAACAAAACTGTTTGGATACAGATGATAGAGCAAGATAAGATGTCTCTGACCTCTCTATGACCTTTCTTCATTGAACGGCATCAAATTTACAGAAGGATCAAGGAACATTTGTCTCTTTCTTTTCGTCGAAAACTTCCATGTTTTTTCCATGTTTGACGCTTTAGGATCTTGTGTAAATTAAATGCAGTTCGATGAAGGAAGGTCATGAAGATGTCTTATTTTTCTATATCAAATAAAATCGTTTCTCAAAAGCTTTAAATAAAAGCCATAAGTCTGGTTTTTCATAGATCTACACTGAAGACTGCTTACAATGAAAGTATTTTATTAATTAAACAGAAATAGAACAAATCAACCTCGTTAAAGAATTAAAGAAAGATTTATCGACTGGATCATCTCAAAAAACTATTCTATACTGGAAGATATTATTCTACTTTAAAAAAAACATACTTTGAAGAATAAATTGATACGATGCCTGAGACTGAAGTTTCCACACATTATGTGCCAAATAAATCTTCACAGTTTTCTAAATTACGCAATACACTGACACCGTTTCTTTGAAACTAGCAAGAATTATTTTATTTTGAAAGTAGTACTAGTTTTGCTGTTTTTATGCTTCAATCTAATAGAATTGATGTTGTAATTATACTGATTTTATTTCATTATCTAAATAAAAGAATTATTACCGAATCACTAGTTGTTTTAACGAACGACTATAAATAATCTATGACTAAGAGAATATTGACAAATATCTTAAAATCTTTGAGCATCAATGTACTAAGTACGGTTTTTTTCTAATTCTTTCACTTTTATTTTGTATTAGCCAACAAAGTAGGATGAAATGAGATTTTGGGATAATATCAAAGTTCAATTTAAAACGATTATGACAAAGATAAGTATTTGTGATAATATCAAACTGTTGGCATACATGATAGAATGAAACAAAATAACCTATTGATGGAAATGGTCAAAAATATGAGAAGTTCAACGAATAATCTATTACTAAATAAATGAAATCAATCGTATCAAGATCAATAATCAAGAAAAAAAATATAAAAAGTGATTTTCAAAATTCATTTCTTAGTGAATATTCACATATCCTTTTTTTTAAAAAGGATGAAATTCAGAAACTTCTTTGATGATCTTCAAATATTATATGTAGACAAATGATAGGAAATGTTTGACGCATGACAAAGAGAATCACAAATAGCACCTCACTGGAGTGTGAATGTGATCTGCCCTAAAGCGACACCCACACCCATGTCTCATGGCTCCTTCGGATCCAAGCATTCAAAAGTGAAGAAAAATCTAGAATCTATCTATGCACTATTTCATATTTTCCTTTGTTTATCAGAACAAAAGATAAATTATTCTAAAAATCACTCAACACATTTTTGATAGAATTTTATTCTGTATAGAAACCTTTCATGAACATGGAACCAGCCTTCTGGTATATGCGGAAATCCAAGATAATTGGAGTTTTTTTTGTTTTCGAGAATATTTCTGATCGATTTCTTAAATATTCTATTATTTTGATTTAAACACATTATTATAATCAAGAGTATAACGGATGAAAAAAAGCATTCTCCTCTTTATTTTAAGTAAAAAAAATGTATATATAATTTCTATGTATTGAAATGTTATTTTGTTAGTACAAATTGATCAGCAATACTATCATCACTATTATGATAATATGTAAGATGCAAATAGGTTTGATTAGCAAATATTGTTGTATACCCAAATTGTCGATCATGATATTTACTCCAGGGAATCCTCGAATAAAATCCAGAATCTAAGTTTTGATCGGCCATACCAATTAAAACCTGTTTTTGATATATCGGACATGTTCATTCATATGAATGGTGGTGTGCAAAAAGATTGACATCAACATGATATTGACAGAACAATGGTTCTAAGTAGAATTGTGACATCATTGTAATTTCATGCTCTTCAATCGATTCTATTTCTGATGTATATACTTGTCGACGTGAACCAACAATAAGCCATGGAGTACGAGAACGATTAACTGAACGAAGATCTTGTTCAATCCATATGTATTGAGGTGATAGTCGACGAAAATCATGTTCAGTTGAATAATAAATTATATGTATTGAACCGACACCAAAACTATACCAAAATTAGAATGCCCAACAACATTTTTTTGGTTTTAAAGACAAACTCACCATCTTAGTCTAAATCCTCCAAGACCTGATGCGTTGCTTGAATCTTTATCTCTTTCTATGATATGATCATATTCATGATTATCAATGCCGACTATATAAGGCACGCGAGCAACTATTGGTTGTATCTGAGTCGTAAATGCATCCCATAGAGCGCCAATACCTCGAGCATAACTAATATCATCAATATGTAACAAATAAGTAATCTTTATTGATATGGTTCTTGCCATTACTCGATCGATAGTTGACTTAGTACCAAGTTCTACTGGCTATAAACCCATATCACTATATGCAATCCAGATTACTGCTTCATTTTTAGTTGCAGAACGATTTGTAAATGAATAGATTGATGATCATCCATGGTCATTATTTCCAACTTGATAAAAATAGGTTGTTGATGGACGAAGATCTTCTAATAAAATCGTATGCATATATCCTGAATCAATGAATTTCTGTGCACCCCATAAAATTGCTTTTTCTTCATACACATCTGATGTTGCATATGTCATTGTTGTTCCATTTCGATAAAACTCAACTGTGAATAGATCGAATCCATATTGATATTGAGAAGTATATTGTGATGAATTAGTTCTATAGGAAATAAATATTTGATCTAATCGATTCTTCTCAGATTATTGAAATACATAGGTTAGCAAATACTGTTCAAAGCAATATTTTAGTACTGGATTGAAGAAGATATGGCAGATTCGATATGCAAGAGTTTCGATTTATTAGTAGACAAAAAATACCTCTCAGTGTCTGTGAATTTTGAACAGGGCGCATAGATATATCTCTTTCATCTTCATGCTTGAGAACGATAAGTTAATAGATTTTCTTATGCAAGTGAACTTAAAAAAACAACAATATTTTCCGTCAGTGAGAAGAATTTCAGCAAAATAAATGCCAACGAAATCTTCAATACATGGAACTAATGTTGGTGTCCAAGTTATATCGATCGCTTCGTTGCTAGTACAGACCGTAGCTGATGCATTGAAAGTCGCTACAGTCATAGTTGTTGAGAGAATTGAAGAAAAACTCTAGCCAGAAAAAAAAGTACAAGACTCGATTTTGATTTCATTGCGGACATTCTACATAATTGACAAGAACACAAAAAAATTACATATGATCTAAATGCTCCGCACTCTTCTTTCATTTTGAAATACAGAAAGACTACGTTTAATAAAATTCAATATGAACAAGAAGAAAGAACACCTCTGCCTTTCAGCTATCTTGCGGTATAGGACGTCGCCTAACTTCACATTTAATAGCTCGATATCTTTCCTACACCTAGCACTATCAATAGATTTGGACAGAACATTGGTCTGACACAAAGCTTTTACGCTCAATCGCTTGAACATTCCACATACAGCGACTGCCCATATACTAAACACGACGGTAGATATATGTTACAACATAGTTAGCATGCTATCGAACAAATGATACGAGATAAGCAGCCATTAGTGACTTGTGTAGGGCCATCTAATGACTCATGGTATCGTAGAGCATTTTCGACCTTTTAAAGAAGAAGATCAATATTATTAGGGAAAAAAGATGGAAAATCTTGATCAAAATGAAAAACAATTTACATTCAGTGACATAGTGGCATAAAGAAACAATACCTATTTATGTGCGAATTATCTAATTTGGAAAACATTGATGCATTTTACCTATTAGATGAAGCATATAAGCATGTGACAAAGGTATTTATATGCCGTGCCTTTTTTTTCTCTTCTAGCAATGCTTCGCAAAAATAGTTCGAAATGTAGATCCTGTCATTTTTCTTTATAAGATATATATCCCGACTTTTTATATCAATGGATTACATATTTATAGATCGTTTAATTTTAGCAAGAGCCATCTGACATTAATCATTACGGAGTTCTGAAACGAGTGAATGAAGAGAAAACAATATTGTAGTGTATGTGTGACATGCAAAATAACATGCATGAAATGACTTCAAAAGCAACAATAACACTCACTATGGATGTGGGGGTAGATGTGTGATGATGAAGAGAAGACTAACACACTCACGTGCATACCCTTATCGACTATTAGCCTAAAGAATTACAGCCTCATAAAATAAAAGTCAAGATCACACAGTGACTAATACACGTCACGAGAGACGGATGACTAGTGTTACAATTGTTCATAACACCAACTGGATCTACGATAGAGTTCATTGTTAGGTGTCTAGTTGGATAAACTAACAGATGACTGATTTCTTGTCGATTGTCGTCTCTTACGTATATTTATTAATCATTAAACATCTTTCTTGATAATAATAGTAGAAACATCGACAAAGTAGTTATGAACTCAATAAAATTCTTACTCAAATTCTTGTTCATTAAAAAAGAAAATTTTAAACTTTTGTGATCAATTCAACCATTCATAGTAGATGCTCAAAGTTTCTTCGACAAGTGTTTGTGCAATAACATTGATTCATAGACCAATGTCATTATTTTACCATATGTTCCTGTCTCGTATTTTTCACCGTCGAACGCACCATTGAAATATGGCGTATGTCGTTTATTAGTTAATAAAGTAATGGCCATTGAGTACTTTGGATCAATAACAGTACACGTTCCTGTCCAACCTGTATGACCATATGCCTCATCAGATGCATAGAGACCAAACCATGATAAAGATTTGTTATGATTTAGACGCCATCCTAATCCATATGTTGGATCATATGCATATGGCGTTAGAAATAGATCTTGTACATTTTGATTCCAAAATTTAATATTTCCATATGTACCATTATTTAACATAATTTGAGTTAGAATTGACATGTCATTCAAATTTGAAAATAAACCAGCATGTCCCGATAAACCATTCATTGAATAGAATGACTTTTCGTCATGGACTTCACCTTGTAATATATACGTACGTACATTAGGAAAGTTGATTGTATGATTACGTGTATTTCCATTTAATTCAGTGGCAGCAAAATCTGATTTTTGATAGTTTCTATTATTGAGAGGATTAAATAATGTATGTGTTAGACCTAGTTGCTGATAAATGTTAATCTTTACATATTGATCAATTGACATTCCACTGATATGTTCCACAACTAGTCCCAAAAGCATATAATCAATATCAGAGTACACGGGTAATTGATCACCACCTCTCGGTCGTTGAAATTCTAATTTTGTTTCGATAATTTCTTCAGTTTTATACTTATCTTGTGAGAAAAAATCTGATGAAACTTTCGTTGGATCGTAAAACTTAACACTTGAAGTATATCCAGCTGTATGTGTCAATAAATCTTTTATTAACCTTGTCTCACGACATTCGTTGTCAGGATTACATCCACAATATTGAGGTATGTATTTTTTAATTGGATCATCAACATTCAATGCTCCTTGCGCAGCTAGGTGCATAAGTGCATAGTTTGTTGCATACATTTTAGTTAATGATGCTAAATCAAACATTGTGTCTAATGTTAGTAGTTGTGCTTGTTTTATTAATGTTGCATTTTCATCATATTTTAATTTATAACCATAGACAGTTTGTTTTAATATTTTACCATATCGAGTTATAATAAGAGCAGCACCGGGAAAACCTTGCTGAATTTCTTTTCCAATAAATTCATCGATCACCTCTTCATTAAAAATAATAGGCTCAGAATCAATTAATTCGATTGAAGTTATTGAGCCATTATTTACCATAAATAATATGAAACAAATATTTATAGAAAATGAAATATATCTGTAGAAGTTATGATGCATTTATTTATCTACTTGTTGATGTGATATTGCAAAGGCGTATGATGCATATTTTATATTAACACGCTTTTTTTTTCGTTCTTCAATTATTTGGAAGACGGTTCGATCCACCATTTCGTTGATGACATGGTTGTTTTTTCTTTGTTATTTTTCAGTATTTAAGGAAGAAAAGAACTAAAAAACAAGTGAAATAGGTTAAAAATACGCGCACCTTTCAAGTATCACCTACAGAAATATGTCACTAAACATGTAGACGTGCTATTAAACACAAGAGTGCAACAAATCCAAAGACTTGGCATTTGCTATTATTTGCTTTAGATTTGAGACTAAATTTGGATTTCATTTACGTTTCAATTTGGATGTGGTATAACCAGAAAAAGCCTTTAGAATTCGAGATCAAATACTTAGTATTTGGATGTAGATTTAATCTTGTGCAAAAACATGACAAAACAAATTCTCATGTTACAAATATCCATATTTTACCATGTGACCAATAACATTAAACAAAACACAATATAAAGTAGTTATCATTTTGACTCTTTCACAATGTGTTCTTGCTTTGCATATTATCGTCCAAACAAGTTATTATAAAATCATCAAACATTTGTGCGATAGGACAACTATAGACTCACAGCAACAAAAAAAATTCCACTAAATATACTATTTGTACAATATATACTTCAAAATACTACATATCCCGAAAATTTTCATCAATTTCAGTCAAAATTATTCCAAGTCTTTTTACATTACAGATAAAACTCGTCTACCAAATTCTAAATCATCCTGAATATTTGAATATTTCATGTTTGATGAGAAATGTCTGCACACGTTTCAACACAATTATCGGTAGCTACTATCGATATCTGGTAAAATATTGTTATACATGAAAAATTTCATTTTCATCATCCTCAAAATATTTTTCATTTCTCTAACGAGGTAAGATACACAAATGTTACGCTCTGTTTTGAATCAGGTATTTGCCATTTTATAGAGCTCAATGAGTATAACATCTGATATAAAGAGTTCGCCCCCATGCTGTACTTTTAAAGAACTACAAGGTATTATATCTTGTGAAAATCACTATGAAGCTCTTAACTGAAGATTTGAATTCTAAGAATATTATGATTT